GGCGGATCTATTCACCAAGTCGCTTCCAACCGCCACGTTCAAGAAGCTTATAAAGCAAATTGGAATGCGCCGGTTGAAAGATCTTCAGTGAGCTTCAAATGAGGGGGAGTAATACGTGTTGTACTCTTTTTCCTTCACCACGGTTTTATCCCAATGGGTTTTCCTGGTAAGGTTTTAATGAGGCAACATACCCAAGGGGGAGTGTTATGAATCATAGTGGATTGTCATAACAAGCCCAGTAAGGCCCGGCCCATGTCAAGCCCGGTCCGGCCCAATGTTATGGAGGTTTAACCTTTTCCTAGTTGTATTAGGGTTTACTCATAACCCCTTGTATGAACCTATATATATATGGCTCTAAGATAATGAATAAAGCATCTCAGTTCCCTCTCTATTCTCTCTAGTCTATAACACCATTTCTATTGTGTAATCATCATGATTAGTGAGTAGTCATTTAGAGTATTTGAGCTATGTTAGATCTAGGTTAATTTAGTGTTGGGTTATGGAGCTTAGGGTTAGATTTATGTTTATCCTTACTTATTGGTTGATTATTATGCTAGAAAAACATTGATCAAGTTGTTTCTAGATCATAGGAATTTCATGCCCGAAAGGTGTTTGATGTAATTCCCCAACCAAAAACCTTTAAGATCTTTACATTCCTAGCCTTTGGAAATTGTTGATTAGGGTGTTTAGAGGCTAATTAGACTTGTTTGAATGCTCATTAATTGATTGATTGCCCTGACAAATGTTGATTATTGATTGATTAGTGAAGGGATTAGCGTCATGAAAGTGGGTTAGTGTAATTAAGAGTTCTATGCCAAAGGATAATGCTTGTTTAAGTGATTTGCCCCATAACCTTTAGTTTCATCCACATAGATCGATAACCCTAGCTCGAAAATTCACCTTTCGTTATTGTTTGAATTTGTTGTTTCCCTGCCTAGTTTCAGTTTGAATCTTGTTAGTCTTTTTGCATCTTCATTTATTAGCTTTGTTATATCCTTTTCATCTTCTTTAGCATCATTAGAAGCATTTTAATTCCAAAACCTCTTTGATTAGCTTAGATTAAGTAAACTAGTGCATTCGTGGTGAGTTAATCAATGCAATTTGGATCGATATTTAATTGCCTCGAATATAAAAAAATTCATACATCAATTTGGTGCCGCTGCTGGGGAGCAATATCAATCAGCCATTAGGATTTCATTTTTGCTTGAGACTAAGCCATTAAATTTTTCACGCATATGATTAGATTTACACATCTAGTTGAGATGATGAGCTCTCTTTTGTTTGTTGTTATTAACTTGTCTTCTTTAATTCTCTTGTGCTTTCGAAGTTACTCAAATTAAAATAAGAAGAATGGGAAGACAAGGTCATTTAAGGTGTTGGATGTGGACATTCCTACTAACACTATTCAAGCTCCACAACCTCAAGATTTGAGAGTAAAGCCAACATATGCTCGAGAGCAGATAACCACAATAGGAAGCTTTAATGTTCCTCATTGTCATGAGTAAAGATATGGAATTCGACCTCCTCCAACAGAAGTCAATGCTTATGAAATCAAGCCAAGTTTGATTCAATTGATTCAAGGCGCTAAATTCTTGGGAATAGCTATGGAGAATCCATATGATCATTTGGAATCCTTTGAGAGGTTGTGTAGCGCATTTAGGATTGGAGGTATGCCTGAAGATAGTATCAAGGTCATTTTGTTTCATTTTCTCTTGGAGAAAAAGCAAGCCGATGGGAGAGAGCTATACCATCACATTTGGTCAATTCTTGTGATGATTGTAAGAGGCTATTCCTTCTCAAGTTCTACTCTGAGAAAAAAAGGCCAAAGTGAGGAAGGACATAATGGGCTTTGAGCAAGGAATTAATGAAAGTTTCTATGAAGCATGGGGGAGACTTAAGGGACAACTCGAGATTGCCCTAATCATGGATTCAACAAGGAAGCTATCCTTAGTATTTTATATAAAGGAGTTAGTAAGGAGCTAAAACGGAGATTGGACGTGGCTAGCAATGAAAGTTTTGTAAATCTCACTATCGAACAAGGAGAGTTACTTGTTGAGAATTTGGCCGAAAGCAATCAAAGGTGCAATGAGATATGTGATCAATGGGTTCTAGAGATATACAAGACGACTACACATGAAGATATTCACAAGAGAGATTATGCCAATTTCAACAAGAGCAAGGATTCCAACCAAGTCCTCAATTCACAAACCAAGGAAAATCTTATATTCAAGCTCATCCTCAGAATAATGAAGTGAATTTCATGTTGGAACAAGTTTTAGAAGGCCAAACTAAGGATTATATGGATTTTGGTAAGAGGTGTGTCGATATGCACAACAAGATGGATGAGATGTACAATGCTCTTAATGGTAAGATCACTAGCTTGGCTTCTCAACATGAAGATATGAAAAGTAAGAAAGTGACTAGAGACTTGACTTATCAACATGAAGAGATCAAAGTTTTTAATGTGAGGAATAAAGAGACCATAAAGCTTGATGAAAACATCATGGATGGTGAGTGTCTAGCCTCTTTATTTGATGAGTTTAAAAGCAATGGTAAAGAGGAGTATTTATGTAAAGCTAAGAGAGGCCTTGAAGGCAACAAGAGGAAGAAGAAACAACCCCACCCTCCCAACCTTGTTCCTTCCTCTAACACCATGAGCTTGCACCCCTTGAAGCTAATAGACCTTTGCATTTTTCGAAAGCAATCTCTACTTGTGTGAAGCTTACATGATCGTTGGAGCATCTCTATGTATTTCAGCTTAATTTGAATATAATCTTCTCGCTTATGGTTTTTGAATGCATTCTCATGTTTAATTCTTCATAATCGAATCATATACCCTTTCACCACTCTCTTGAATTATTCAAAAGTCTCCCTTACCCTTGACCTTAACCTTTCCTTTCAACCCTCGAATTGATTTGTGAGTGAGGCCTCTTCTTGATAATGCTATAGATTATGAAATCTGGAGAGAATTGAGAACGACAAGGTATTAGCTTTTGTTTTAGCTAGTATTTGGAACATTATAAGCTATCTATTAGGAGGGGATGAAAGAGCTAGGAGGTTAGATTGTACTTTTGGGTTTGGTTTGGTAGAAAGAAGAAATCGAAAGAGTAAAAAAAAAAGGAAGGTTTGATCATGGTATTAAAGGGAGTCCTTAGGGAGTTAAGTTAAGCTCTATGTCTCTAAGTTAAGTAAGGAAGAAAAATGTCTTGTTAGTTCCCCAAAAAGAAAAGAATTTTGCAAAGTTATAAGTGTTGGGAATGAAGGGAACCAAAAAGAGAGATAAAAAAGAGCTAAGTGTTAAAGAAGAAAAAGGTCCCTAGGTGACTACAAAAAGATTGGTGATCATTGGGTGTTGGTGGAGAAGACCAAAGTGTCTAGTCTTTGTGGTTTGAAAAGAAAAAGAAATAGGTTTGCAAAAGGTAGAAATTAGGATGTTATATCTAAGATGGGTAGAACAAAAAGAGCTAATCTTTGTATGCGTTCTTGGTCGTAGATGGATTTCATGATTGTCTAGCATTCCTTTCATTTGAGAGTTAGTCACCCAAAGAAAGAAATTGATAAAGCCACCACAAAAATCCTTCACCTAAAACCAGTTGAGAATGATTCATTTACCATTTGCGAGACCGCGCCAAACACCTTAATGAATGTTAAAGAGATGTTTCAACTTTATTGTGAGTCTTTGCTAATAGTTTGAGTTTTAACTAGAAGAGTGCATTAACATAAGCATCATAAAATATTTGAGAGTACGATGATTGATTTATGCACCGCTGAACTATCTTTGAGGACTTTAGTTTGCATCCTTCGCTTGATATTATGTGGCTATGAATCTCCGTCTTCAAACCTCTTTCTCGATTTATCTCTTGATCCTTGCTCGAGGACTAGCAAGAGATAAGTTTGGGGGAGTTGATATCTACTGTTTTTATTGGTTTTTAAGCATTGTTTAGTGGTTAGTTTCATGCATTTTCCATCATGTTTAGTGTGTTTAGGATTTCATTTTGCATTATTTGAGTCTTTGTAGGTATTTGGAGGTTCATTAAAGATTTCGGAGCATTTAAGGTAAAAAAAGAACTAAATTGAAGCATTTCTAGCAATGGTGATGATGGAGGAACCATGGAATGAAGCAAGTGAATCAAAAAATCAAGAATGGACCAAAGAAAAGGAGAAACAAGGAGGTGAAGTGTCCCGCCCGACCCGGTGGATCGAGCACTTGTTTGTGTCCTTCAAAGATCGACCTTGATAAAGATTTTCCCTTCGGATTTAGCTTCAGAGTTCGTCATCCAAGTTGTAGGAAATTGAATTAGCTTTCCAATGGTGGTAGTTTCAGGCCACTCGGAAATACAGTTCATGAGTTATGACTGATTTAGTGAGGATATATCTATCCAGAACGAAGACTGGTCGGTTGGAGTGAAGCAGATGCAAAAAAAAGTTTTCAATCGACCTCACAATCGACCGGTTGGATATAAAGACTTTGGGTTCAACCCGGTTCATCTCGGGTTGACTCGGATCGTTTTCTTTTACTATATAAATGTTTCAAGGCCTAAAAATATGGATCTTATGCTATATTTTGTGCTTGTTTTCAATTTCTTTTATATCTTTGAAATCATTGTATAAATATTAAGTACATTTACACAATTTAATCTTGTTCTCTTTTAGTTCTATCTTCTACTTTATCTCTCTTAGATTCTGGAACTAAATTCGAAACACTAGATTGATGGTTGATCATCCTTGTTGATTCTTATCTTCTTTCGATTGGTTAAATATAGATCATGAAATTAATCAAAATTTGATGACTACGATGAGTCAGAGATGACTGGCACAAATATATTATTTTAAAGAGTTGTACGTTGATGAGGATGCTCAGCTCTCATGGTTCAGTGAAGGTGTTAAAGTCAGGAGTTGAAACTGGCCTGGGAGGGATGAGCTAGCCTTGGTGTAGCCGTTGGAGTTGGATTACTCATGCGTTCGTATCAGACAACAACTAGTAACCTTCGAAGGAGGTTTCACCACAATTTGATGCGTTCAACCTCCAAATCTACTTTGTATAGTCTATTCCTTGATCTGTTAGCTTTCACCAATAGATTTCCTTCTCGATCGTGCAGTGTCAAGTAGTCTTCTCGCATTCTCACATCACAACCAGATTCAGTAGCTTGTCCCAAGCTAATGATGTTACTCTTGAGATCGGGGATATAATAGACATCTGTTAGAACCTTGCGTTGTCCTCCTTTGGTTAAAAATAAGATCGACCCTTTTCCTTTGATATCGACACGAGAATCATCACCAAACCGTACTTTACCCGTGATTGTTGTGTCGATTGTTTTGAACCAAGTATGATTTCCCGACATATGGTTACTCGCACCATTGTCTAAATACCACACCTTGTCCGATGATGCCTCAAGCTCTTTTGGAATCACATTTTTCTCATTGAGAAAAACCACTTCGTGCATCATAAGTGATTCCGCTTCTTGTGTATCATCTTCTGCTTTCTCTTGGTCTTCTTGAGCTTTGATTAGCTTGAGCAAGCGATCCG